GGGGAGGGGGCGGGGCAGGCGTGCCGCCCCGCCCCGCCCCGCCCCGCCCCTTCTGAGCGCGCGCCTGCCTGCGGTCCTTCGCCGGGCGCCGCTGTGCGCGCGTCCCGCCACTCGCAGCCTCGCGTCCTCGCGTCACCCGCGGCAGGCCGGGCCCGGCTGCGGCTGCGGCTGCGGCCGCGGCGGGGGGCGGGCGAGCGCCTGGAGCCCCGGGCTTCTTCCCCCGGGAGGCTGCTGCTGGGTGCTGCCCCTGGCCAGCTGGAGGCGGCTCGGCCTGTTCTGGTCGCGGTCACACGGCCCCGCGGGAGCAGGCTCACCGCTCGGGGGCGCCCCTCGGTCGCGCAACCCTCGCGGGGGCTCAGGTCACCTTCTACCGGCTTTGGCGGGTGGCCTGGTGGTGCCACTGCCTGGCCGGGGTGGCCTGGCTTCAATAGCCGTGCTTTGGTAACCTCTAAATCAGATTACAACAACGCGCTCCCTCTTGGCCCGCGAGGATCAGGCAGTGTGGAACTGTGCAAATGACCGGCTCTGCCAGGCCGATGAAGAGACCGTTCGGCCACCGTTTACTAATAAATGCTCATACTGATAAAATGGCACTTGGTGGGAGGGTGCGAGCAAAGTCTAGATCACCTGCTTGCTGTCACTGTTATAGAACCAACCTACATCCTGAGGGACTTGAGACTCGATTCTCAGACTTTTCCAATGGGGTCAGTTCACTGTCCCTTAGGCTCTTGGGGGAGTGGACTATAGTTGGGGGAAAAAAATGAACGAATTCCTATGCACACTGCACATATCTTATTTGTAGTGCAAAAAACCAGGAAAAATAGTTAAAATGAACAATTTTAATCAACGTAAACTTACTACTATTTGAGTGGGAAGTATGGGCCTGCTTTTGGCTAATGAGATGGTGACACCCCAGAAACAAGTCCACAGCAACAGAATGAGTATAAAACTGATACGATGAGGACCATTTCTGCAGAGAACAATCATGAGCTCATCATGAGCACAGAGCTCATTTACATATGTTGTACTGTGATCCACAGGGGATCGCTTTTTGGAAAGCGATGGACAGGCGGCAATGAAGCGATCTGTCGCCTCCACACCACCTGTTTTAACCGCCATCTCCAATAGCAACCGAATGGCACTAATAAATCTGCACTCAACATCAGTGCACACCCATAGAAATACATGACGTGTGGCATCCTACATCAAAATTTGCATTACAATTTATTTTTCATGAGCAAAAATGAGGAGAGATGGAGGGGAGCAACTTCTGAATCTGCTAAAAATGATTTTTATTTAAAAAAATATAAAACAGCTTTAAAAAAAAGAGAAACTCGCTGAATATCCACTAGGACCTGCAACCCAAGTCCGTCTCTACATAAAATTTGTAAAGATGTACCCAGGTTGCAGGACTTAGTGACTATTCAGTGAGTTTTTCTTTTTTCAGACCTGTGTAATGTATATTTCTTTTAAATTAAAAAATGTTTGCTCCGCTTGCTCAGGCTGCAGCAGAAGCCCAAGATGAGGCCGCACCACCCGCCGAAAGGGAGAGCGCGACACGGGGAGACACGAGGGTGCCCTGCTTCAGAGCCAGAGGAAGCCTCCCTCACAGGCGCTCACCTGGCCCCGGGAGCGGGAGCGGGAGCAGTGAGCACGGGGCGGCTCCCCTGGCCGAGAGGTAATGGCTGCTTTCCACGGGCTGAGGCGAGGGGAGGCAAGGGACGAGGCTGTGGCCAGCCGAGCAGGGCGCGTCCCGCCTCTCCCCACCATGGGGGACGTGCGGGGAAGCAGCATGGCAGCTGCTCGACCGCGGCCTGCCCTGAGAAGACCATGGTGGAGCCGCAGGAGCTGCAGCCCCGCTCCTGCTCCGCCTCCGCCCATCCACCCCCGGCCTCGGCGAGGCAGCCGCAGCTTGGCCCGCAGCCCGGGATGTGGCTCATATTTCTGTGGTTAAAAAAACGCCGGATTAACCCTATTACATTGAACGTTACAGGGATATTTGATTATATTTTTCTTACCTTCTATCTTTAGTGTCTTCATTTCTCTCTTCCCACCACCCTCCTCTCTTCTGTATTCCTGCTCTGTATTCAGAGCCAATGCATGCGTGCAACAGGGGGACGAGCCGGCGTGTGCACAATTCACGCTGGCAAGACCAGCACAGCAGCAGGAGCCAGCCAGAGCTAGCAGAGGGAGCCGGCACACGCACAGTCAAAGGGAGCTGTTACAATTTGGCGTGTGCGCCAGCTCTCTGCTAGTCTCCGAAACTGGAAGAGTTTCAGAGTATGCCTGCACCAGCTCAGAACTTTTGGACTCATTCGGAGATCGTTTTCTCTGAACGAGTCCGAAAGCTGAGGTGGGCTGGGTAAATGACCCTGCCAGGCTGTATCCAACCCGCGGGCCGTAGTTTGAGGACCCCTGCTCTAAGTATATGTAACTCCATCCAGTGGTGGGAGGGGAAGTGATTATAGATAAACAATAAATGCATGTTTTGCAATGTTTTTGTTTCCTGAACTTTCAATAAAGGAACTTCACACAAAAAAACTACTCACACTTAACAGTTATGAAAAATAGATAACTTGATCAATTTTAATAAGCACATAGTAAACACCATTCATGGAAATGCAAAGAGTTTTAAAAGACATTACAAATGTGAGTAAGTAGGTTTAAGGTAGTGCCTGTTTTGGGGTTTTGGTGGTGCCATAATTCCAGGCCTTCGGCCAATTCCTGTCTTGACTAGAGGAATGTCAGATGTAGAACCTTTGGAATTAGATGATGCCTTTCTGTCATTTTTGTAACCCCTAGAAAGTGCGGGCAAGGAAGAAAAATAAAGCAATAATGTGTTATTGATCACATTATTTATATAAACATGAGCAGATACAATTGTTTTAGAAGTCTCATGGGATTAAAGTACTTACAAGAAAATTCTCTACACTTGTGCAGTTTGATTAAACTTTCATCCGTACATTACGAAAAATACCCAAACTGTCAATTTCAGGTTTTACATGGGCTCCCATCCCAGGCTGCTGAGAAGCAGACACTTCCCTTCCCAAAGGTTTTTCTCTTCTGGATTTTCGTGCATTTTATTCAACACTTCACACCCAGCCGTGCACATCAGCAACCCAGCAATGGCTTTTTGCACTAACAGGCAAGGTGCATGCAGCCTGATAGTTGAGTTAGTAATTATTTTACGAGGTCGTTTGAAATTAAAAATGATTCCATACTGCTCTCCATAAAAGTGCTCTGCCCCTGTGCCATTTACTCTCCATGCAGTGTTTCATAATGAACTAATTAAAATATCTTTTATTATTGTTTTATTCCCATTAGCAACATGCAAACCAATGACGATTTTTTCCCCCTTGGATCTGAAAACATACCGCTTGGAATGTGACTGCCGACCCCCAGACCCGGTTTTCTTCTTCTTCGATTCTCTGAACGGCTGTGCCTTTCTCCTCTTCCTTCCCTTGTTTGTTCCGTTTTGGAAATAGCCAGATGTTGTGCACATGTCCTCCACTGCCTCGCCAACACTGCAGTTTCTGCTGACATCAGTGTCTGTGGTTAGAAGTGGTTTGCCTTCCCCTGTGGAGACAGAGCCCAAACAATTTGCTGCATTCATGGATGTTGCATGCAAACAGCAACCACCTCACTGTTTTTTCCTTTGCGCTGAGACTAACAATTTCTCCATGGACCCTTTTACTGGGAAGATTTGGTAGCTAAAAGCATTTTGGTGGGGATGTTTTCCCCTACCCAGCATCCGTTAAAAAAGGGAGGTTTTTCTGCCCTTCAGTTCTTCTTGGATCACCTTCAGTGCCTCAGGAAGCTCTTTCTTTCTTAGCACTTGCATGTTTTTTCCTTCACATCTTTTTTCTCTTCCATATACCTTAGCATCTTTCTCTATACACCCTTTTCCTCCTTTAGGGTGATTTTTCACAGTCTGCTTCTTTTTCTCCGTTCCACCTAACCCCCACCCCCAAACCTCTTTGTGACCCTGTGCTATTTCCCACCTTTATCAGACCCAATTTTTGATGAAGTCCAGACAAAATGAATTGGTGCTGGTTGCCATACTTTTCTTCCTGACTGCTCCAGGCAGTCCAGCAATCCCAGAAGCCCCCTCTGCAATGGCACCAATGACGACAAGGCCAGAGACTATGTACCGGGTGCAAGAGAAGGATGCAGTCTTCCTAATCCAGCACTGAAAGCCAAACTCAGTGGTGGTGGAACCTGAGAGTAACCTTGCTATGTGAGAACGGGCTCCCCTGTTTTTAGGACTGCTTCAGCTATGCCAACACTTTCCATATAACTGCTACCAAACCAGAGAGCCATATACATAATTTGTATGAACAGCTCTTTATGTCAGTGTGCGTCACTTCAGTGTTGTGTAGGAAGGGAGGTGTCTCTGGCATACCTCAAAGTAGCCTAAAGCACATTAAAAATTCTTACAAAGGGATCACCCACACAGCCTGTTTTTTCAATGGCAACCATGTATGTATGTATGTATGTATTTATTTGGGGTTTTTTTTTAACCTCGTCTAATACGTTGCAGGTCTCTGGATGGCTAACAAGTCAAAACCTAATAAATAATCCATGACTGAGCATAAACATAGTTAAAATATTAAAACATTAAAATTATGGAAAAATAAAAAGGTCTTGACATGGCACCAAAAAGCATACAACTTTGGCGCCAGGCAGACCTCTCCAGGGAGCACATTCCATAGGCGGGGCGCCACTGCAGAGAAGGCCCTCCTCCGAGTATGTTCTCTCCTAATCTTCAAGGAGGGCTTCCGGAGCAGGGCTTCAACTGCAGATCTGAAGGGGCAGGTGGGCATGTAGGGAAAAAGACGTTCCTTTAGGTATCCAGGTCCCAAGGCGTTTAGGGCTTTATAGGTCAATACCAGCAGCTTAAATTGGGCCTGGGCTTCAACTGGAAGCCAGTGGAGCTGATAGAGGACCGGTGTTATATGAGAATAATGACCGGCCCCCGACAGCAATCTGGTGGCTCTGCTCTGAGCCAATTGAAGTATCTGGACAGTCTTCAAGGGCAGCCCCACGTAGAGTGCATTACAATAGTCCAACCGGGAGGTTACCAGAGCGTGTGTCACCGTTGCTAGGCAGTGCTCATCCAGGTAAGGAAACAGCTGATGAATCTGCCGAAGCTGAAGGAAAGCACTCCTCGCCACCACCTGAGCCCCCAGGGACAGTTCCGGGTCAAGGAGCACTCCCAAGCTGTGGACCCTGTCTTTTAGAGGGAGTGCAACCCTGTCCAGGACAGGGCCAAAATCTGGAAACCTGAACCACCTACCAAATAGACCTCCATCTTATCTGGATTGAGTTTCAGTTTATTGGCCCTCATCCAGCCCATTACCTCGGCCAGGCACCGGTTCAGTACAGCCACTGCCTCACCTGGATTAGTTGTAAAAGAGGGGTAGAGCTGGGTGTCATCAGTGTATTGGTGACTCCTCAGCCCAACCCTCCTGATGACCTTTTCCCAGTGATTTCATGTAGATGTTAAATAGCAAGGGGGACAAAATGGAACCCTATGGTACTCAGCGGCAAAGTTGCCATGGTACAGAGCCATGGTCCCCCAGCATCACCTTCTGGAATCAGCCGGCCCAATAGGAGCAGAACCACTGCCTAGCAGTGCCTCCCACTCCCAAAGATGCCAGTCGATCCAGAAGGATACCATGATTGATGGTATCGAAAATCGCTGAGAGATCTAGGCGAACCAACAGGGACACACTCCCCATCTGTCTCCCTGCACAGATCATCCTACAGCACGACCAAGGCAGATTCAGTACCATAACCGGGTCTGAAACTGGACTGAAATGGGTCCAGATAATCAGTTTCCATCCAAGAGTGCCTGGAGTTGTCCCGCCACCACCCACTCCAACACCTTGCCCAAGAACGGAATGTTGGTCTGTAACTGGCAGCCACCTCTGGGTCCAAGGATGCTGCCTTCAGGATGGGCCTGATCGCCGCCTCCTTCAAAGGAGCAGGGACCCGGCCCTCCCTCATGGAAGCGTTAATACCCTCCTGGACCCAGGTACCAATCCTGTGTTTGGCTTTGGTAAGTAGCCAGGAAGGGCACGAATCAAGCAAGCAGGTGGTAGGGCAGACCAGTCCAAGCACCTTGTCCACATCATCAGGCCGCAACAACTGGAACTCATCCAACAATGTTGGACCAGATGGGGCTCCGAACACATCCCATAATGGAACCCTATCAACTGTGGAGTCCAGCTCGTGACGAATCTGAGCGATTTTCTCCTTAAAATGCTGGGCAAAATGGTCACAGCAGGCTCTTGATGGTGCCACTGGATCTTTCTTAGGGCCAGGATGGATCAGCCCATGTACCACTCAAAAGAGCTCCGCTGGACGGCACTGTGAGGAGGCAACGGAAGCGGAGAAGAATTTCTTCTTTGCCGCCCTCACCGTCACAGAATAGGCTCGATAATGAGCTCGTAAGCGTGTTCAGTCAGATTCATCCCATGATTTCCCCCACCTACGCTCTAGCCGTCTCCCAACCCACTTCATTGCCCGTAGTTCAGGTGTATACCAAGGGGATGGACGGGCTCTGCCGGGTGAGAGAGGATGCTTAGGAGCAATCGTGTTGATTGCCCTGGCCATTTCCCCGTTCCACAAATCAACCAGAGCACTGACAGGAGCACCAGCTTTATCAACTGGAAAATTCCCCAGAGCCCTCAGGAACCCATCAGAATCCGTACTGTTCTGGGGGTGGACCATCTTAATAGGGTCCGCACCCTTACAGAGGGGAAAGTCAGCCTCGAGCTCAAATCTCACGAGGAAGTGATCTGACCATGACAAAGGAGTTAAACTTAAGTTCCTCACTTCCAGCTCATTATCTTCCTGCCCCATCAATAAAATTAGGTCCAGAGTGTGACCTCCAGAGTGTAACTATACAGATGAAGTAACATCTAAACGTGTAAGACTATGTACCCTAAATAAATAAAATGTCTATACAGAATTTAATAGCCACAAAATACCTGAGAATGACCATTCAGAGTACTTCTGCATCACTTCAATTATATCTGCTCCATATTTCTCTAACTTGTCCTCTGTAACACCATCAATCTGAAGCAAAGCTGCTGGGTCCGAAGACAATGTCTCTGAAGATGAAAGCAGCCGAGATTCAACATTTGAGTTGGCAGAAGCAAAAATAATACAAATAAAATTCCGCTGTTAAAACAAATGGACTTCCCACAAAGCTGTTTCTTTTACGTGAAAAACACTGAATGTGATTTCTAGCCTCATACTGAGAACACAACAAGCTCTTACAAGCATGTTTTGTCCTAAAATTCCCTACCAATGGAATTAAGTCATGGCACCTGCCAGGCACTAGGAGTGGAACAGAGCATCAAAGAGAACACAATTTACAAATACATGCACTTCGATAGTGAATCCAGCCCAACTATGAGGCAAAAAAAGTAAGAAATACAAGCAGTACTGTAGGTTTATAACATTTCTATACTGCCCCTTAGACAAAGCTCACAGGGCAGTTCACAAAAATTAAAACTCTAAAATACTACATGATAAAAAATAAAATCTCTCATGTTTACATTTCTCAGACTGATCCATTCACAGCAAAGAGAGAAAGAGTATTTGTACTTCATGGCCTTTTAAGGTTGACAGTTTGTTGTATTTCTCTGCACCCAAGTGACATACTAGGCTTTAATATGACACTGGATTTGGCAGCAACAGAACAGAATAACCACATGATCTAGTGAGTTCTTCCATGAAGGTCCACATTACCTGCAATTCTTTTAAGAGTGGCAGTGCTAAAAATATTGAAGTAATGAATGCCAAGCATTTTCCCAAGATTTTTGCAGACATCCATGAGTTCCGAGAGACATTTCTTGATCATTTCTTCCCGCTGGGACATCTTGGCCACCAAAGCCCTTTGCTTGCGAATGCTGCTGGCACTTTCAGTTTCACAGAACTCTACCTGGGAAATGAAAGGACACTGTACAAAACTACTATTGAACTGGAGCGATTGGTTGAAGTGGAGTTGCCTCCCCATTACAGCTACTGTGGGAACAAGTAGAAACAGATCAATGCAGTCCCTTTCCTTCCAAAGGCCTTTCTTTACACGAAATTTCCGTACTGCTAGCTTCATTTCTCTTGCTGAGGCTCAAAACACTGAACTTATATTGGGGGAGAATACTGAGCACCTCAGGAAGGGTTAAAACACCCAAATTTGCTCGTTACATACCTGGAGAGTGCCACTTAGCACAGCGTAAGCTCTTTCTCCTAACTGCACATACGCTACTGCTTGGTCATTAGCCGTGATGCACAGGTCTTCATCCAGAATCTTGTCCAATACCAGCTTCCTGAAGAGTCGCTCGGCATTGTGGCGTGAGTATGCTGCCCCCCTGCCAAACAGGCCAGACTGAATCTTGGCGCTTTTCGTGCCTGTTCAGAATTAAGACAGATTGCGCCTTCTTGAAACAGAGGGAGGAGGAGGAGGAGGAATACAGACATCAGTCTCTGCCTCTTTTGGCTGCAGCTTCAACCACCAGTGGGAAACAGCCTGAAAGTTCAACGCTGAGGAAGTCCAACCTCCAGAGAAGGGAGCTTATTGTCCTTGCCTATGGCAATCCAACACCAAACGTCGGTGACAGATATTAGAACTTACCCAAGAAAATGTCGATCATCATATTCAGTGTGTATCTTCCAGCATGTCTTCTCACAGTTGCCTTTCCACCACAATGCTCCTGAACAAACCTGACAATGTCTTTCACATCTTCTGTCACATTCCTCAATTTATATTCCTAAAAAGAATCGTGAGAAGGGAAATCAGCTTTGCTTCACTACGGCTGACAACATACTGTTAGTTCGCCTGGACACTGTTCCATATGCAAGATGCGCAAGTTAAATTCATGGTTTAGGAACGCTACATGTAATCTAAAACAAACACCAAGACCAATATTCTAAAGAAAGAGTTTGAAAGTCATTGTCAGTGAATTTCATTAATATATTCTGAAAGAATAACATTTCAGAAAGCTAGGAAGAACTTGTCGTACCTGCCGTTTGGAGCAGTTATCACAACTCACTTCAGGGTATTCCTTACAAAAGTTAGAATTAAAGCCAGTTTCTCCAAAATAGGACAGCAGCTGCAATCTCCGGCACTCCACTACATTTTCACAGTAATGCACCATGCTGTAGAGGTTGTTGAAATGTGTCTGCCGCGTGTCGCGGTTGCCATCTTTTTCCACTAGAACACAGGAAAAGGGTACTCCAGTCTCCCAGCTCACAGTTTGCCAATGCTCTAGTATTCCAGGGTTGGATACCGTGTCCTATTTATTCCAGGCATCCTGGTATGAAATTATTTGCCTAAAATGTAAACGGCAAGTAGTCATAGCACTTGCAGGCAAACTGTCTATTGGAGGACTGCAACTTTACACGGGGACAAGAAAGTATAAGGTAGGCGCTAAAGCCCTCTTTTGCCCTCACTTTGTAATGTGCAGCCCACACCGGTTGGATTTTACCCGGAGGTTTGAGAGAGGAACGCTTACTCAGAATGAGCCGCCTCAGCCTGGTGACATCACTGTAGCTGTAGAAGAGGAGGCAGTTGGACATTTCTCCATCACGCCCAGCCCTGCCTGACTCCTGATAGTAACCTTCAATGGATTTGGGGAGAGAGGCATGGATCACAAAGCGCACATCCGGCTTATCAATCCCCATTCCAAACGCAATGGTTGCACATATAATCTGGAACAAAACAAAACAGAATTCTCGTACAACTGAAGTTAAGCTGGACACCACTGCCCCATTTTGTGACAAACTCAGTACCAGCTACCTGACTATTCTCTCTGCTTCACCTCACACTAATGCTAAGGAGGATAAGATAAAGACTGCAACGTATTTAGAAAGAGTCAGTCGCTACCACTTTGCTTTGCCACAATAATTATTGCATCACATTTGGGCAAACTGCTTCTGGTTCACTGTGTATTTTACTTCCCTGTCTTTGCAGGTTTTTTAAATTTCTTCTTTTCAATTAAAAACTACACTCTCGTGTTCAATCAATGATGTGCTAATGTGAAGAGTTTTCATTGTAATGCATTTTCCATTCTACAAAGTCAACATTTCTCCTTTAGAGGATTAATCATCAACATTTAAATTGGCATTGGGAGTGTTCTGTGCCTCTTGATTTTACTGCCTGCTTGTGTTCTTTACCTTCATCTTTACATTTGACCCACTTTACCTGACATCCATCCTGATTAATCCACTTCTGCTGCACAAGATCTCGGATGTTATCAGGGAGACCAGCATGATATGCAAGGGCAGAAAGACCAGCTTTCTGCAAATTTGTGGCAACCGAGTCACATTCGTACCGTGAGAGACAGTAAATTATTCCAGAGTCATCTGCAAAACGCAAGCATAAGGCTCAGGCAACTCAGCCGCTTAACAATGGCAACCGCATTTTCATATGCCTTCGCATCCCATTCGCTTGGATTTTTAATTCTACTTTTGGCCAGAGAAAAGGCCCTCAGGGCAGTTAGAACCGTCTAGTATTTGGGATAAACAAACATGAAAACGGTGCAGCAGACAATGCTCCGTTATTTACACATTTCCACCCTGCCCTTCTTACAAAAGAGCTCAAAGTGCTAGGTGACATTCCCTTTTACCCTTTCCTATTTTATCCATGTGCATGAGGTTCTCTCCACAATTTTACTCATAAAATCAACTTGCAATGGCGGTCTGGTTTCTGAGATAGTGACTTGCCCAAGGACCCCACGAGGTTCACTGCGGAGCAGGATTTGAACCAGGGCTTCTTCACTCTAACTTCCTAGCAACCATTCCGTGGCTCATGATGACAGGACGTTTTTAGCATGGCTTACGACGTGCTTCAAAGCACATCAAAAATTAAAGCTTCTGGATATGTCACTAACCAAGTGTCAAATATTTCCTTCCAATTTAGAATCCTTTCACGAAACATAGGCTTACAAAATCCAATTGAGATGAATAAGAAAGGATCAGGGAGGAAGAAAGGAAGTTAGCTCACATGGGTGGTATTTTCTGATCCACTGCAAGCAGTCCAAAGCAACATTTTTGGGCTTTTTTGGCAAAACATCGTATTTCAGGTTGTGCCTGTTAAAGCTCATACTGAACCTTAAAAAAAAGGGGGGCGGGGGAGAACATAATTAAAACATGCAGTGATTCTTTTCAAAAAAAGGTATATAAAGAGAAGAGAGCCATTCGGAACTCGAACCAGCAAATTTGTCTCCGGGGACTTTGTTTCCCATCTCAGCGTGCCCGAGATCAGGGGCAAGGATGCTGTAGCTTGCAGCCCAACTTGGCCTGCTGGGTCGACGGATCCCCCGTGAGGGTCCTCAGCCAAGGCACAGCCTCTTCAGGATTAGCTGTGAGAGGAATCACCGCTGCCACCTCTGACGGCTGCTCAGATACGGCAGCAGCAATGCCATTGGTGTACATGATGCGCACTGCCCCACACGGAAGGGACAGCAGGGTGTGAAAAGCTTTGCTCCCTCACATTCTTCCTGAGGAAAGGTATATGGGGCTAGCGCTATGGGTGAGATGCAAGCGGGCCTGCAAAAGGCTGGCGGAGGGCCATCTGCCCCACCCTGAGTTCAGATCAAACTTACACCTGCGGCTGAAGCATCTCGAGTTGATTTAGGATGTCCTTTCGCACCCGGGGGTTTGCAGTGGCAGTAAGAGCCATCATAGGAACCGAGCAGAATTTCTTACGAAGCATATTCAGACGCTTGTAGTCTTTACGAAAGTCATGGCCCCACTAGCGGAAAGAGAACGTGAAACATATTTTGCTCTCAGTTTACTGTGGGGTCCCACTGGTTTAGTGACCCCTGAATTTCCCAATGAGGAAAGATCACCTGGCTGACACAGTGCGCCTCGTCAATCACAAAGCGTGCCAACAGCTGCCGCTCATACAGGTTTTCCAGTGTGGACATCAGCCGGCCACTCGCACAGACCTGTGGAAGATGCGTATCAATTAAGTCAGAAATCTCAGAGGATCAGCTGTTTCAGAGAATCGTTCGTTCGTTCGTTCATTCATACAATATTTGGATACTGCTTCATGGCCAAGCAGTTTCTGGACCAGTTTACAGTACAAAGTTAAAGAAAAGCAAAGTCTTAAAAGCATGGTATCATCAAGACACTGGCTGGTCAGCAAGAAAGGCCTCTCAGAATAAAGTTACCTTTATTTGGTCATTGCAAAAAGGCTTGCCCCAATACCAAACTACCTCTCATAAGCCAGACCTGTTGTCCATGGCTCATTTAGCGCTATGTGCAGAACAGGAACTCTGACGGGTCTCTGCTTAACGAACCAGAGCCGTAGCCCAGCGGCAAATCATGGTTGATGGCCTTGGACTGCTGGCCAAGAACTAAGCCAGACCTGCGCAACTCCCCAGCAGGCTTCAGGCCAGAGCAGGAGCCAGAGCTCCATCACCCAGCTCTCTGACTGCGGCAGGTGCACGACATGCCTGCGGGCTGCCCCCAGGCGGCACCTCAGCCCCCCTACAAACCTTCTCTGGAGTGACATAGAGGAGCTTTATGATGGGATCTTTCTTTGATAACTGCATATAGATTCTGGATGCTTCAGCATCAGTCTTATCACACGTCAGGTAAGTAGCTGGTATCTGCAACACGAAGGACCACGGGACCATTAGCGGCTGGGCCTCGCCAAGTATCCACCCAGCCCAGCATTCTGTCCAAGCTTGCCACCCACTTGCCCGGCAGAACCTCACGTGCAGGACACGAGTGCAAAGGCACCCTCTCACACAATCATGGACTGGTGGATCTGGAAGGGGCCACCAGCTCCAGCCCCGGCTCAGTGCAGGACTCCACATTAAGCCATCCCTCCGAGACGGCTGTCCAGCTGCATCGTGAATGCCTCCAGTGAGGAAGACCCCCCACCTCGCTAGGCCATTGGCTCCATGGGCATATTGCTTTCGCAGTCAGGAAGTTCTTCCTGATGTTGAGCCAGAATCTGGCTCCCTGGAACTAACCCCCCTATTCCACTTCTTGCACTCTGGAATGGTTGAGAGGAGATCCTGGCCCTCTTCTTTGTGACACTTTTACTTGAAAAGGGCGATCATATCATATTCTTGGCATATTTTATTGTTGACTCACACTCAGCTTGTGATCTATGACAATTCCAAGATTCTTCTCATTTGTGGAATTGCTGTGCCAAGTATTCCTGATCTTGGAAAGATGCATCTGATTTCCTTTTCCTAGGTGCAGAACTTGGCATTTGTCCCTACTGAATTTCATCCCGTTGTTTCCAGCCTAGTCCTCCAACCTATCAAGAGCACCTTGAATCTACTTTCTGTCTTCCAGGGTATTAGCTGTCCCAACCACATCTGTGTCATCTGCAAATCTGATCATCGTTCCCTGCACTTCCTCAACTAAATCATTACACACAGGGTTGAACGGCTTTAAATCCAAGCACTTTAGATCAACCTGAATCCAAATCTCAGTGCCCAAGTATCTGTGCAGGGAGTGGGAGTTCTACATTCACACGAAAGCAAAAAGGCAGCACTGCCCTGGCCCATGGCGGCTCCAGGCACGGCCAAGACACAACCTTGACCTTTTCTACATCAACAAGAAAATTAGGGTGGAAGAGGCAACGTGGACCTGAACTCACATCCATTGCAGTGAGCTTCTGAACTTGATCTATGATCAGCGACCTCAAGGGAGAGATGACAATGGTGACTCCCACGGAAACACAGGCGGGCAGCTGGTAGCACAAGCTCTTACCACCGCCTGAGTAAAGCATCAAACAGAAAAATAAAGGTTAGCTGGACAGTTTGCCCAAAACGTGGACACTAAGCAGATGCAAGTTGTCATATTTACTTTGTTTATTTATTGAAAGCTTTTGTATGATGTCCTATTATTCAAAATCTCAGGACGGCTTACATAGGAGGTTGGCCAACAGCTAAAATGCTCCTTCTGACGTCTCTGATAACTATTCCAAACTTTCCACACGCTACCACTCCAAGCAGAACACTGCAAACACAAGTTGCAATGCAAGATTGCACTGTCCACGGCTCTTTCCTGTCTTGAAATAGGAAATTTTGTCTGAAAGCGAAATCTCACCAGAACTTTTTAAAACAGTAATTCTGAAAAAGTTGTGCCTTTGATTGTTATACAAAGGATACATTTATTTTATTGAATAGGTCTATAACTGACACTTTGACTGAAGTGGCTTACTGAGGACGTTAAGGGGACAAGCCAAGAGATGCACAGGCCAAAAAAAAAAAAAAGGTCCTACAACTGCTGGGAGTGTCCAGCCAGCACAGCTGCATCAGGGAAGCCGGGGGTGGTGGGGCTTTTTGCGTCGAAACATGCATAGGACTGTGACTGAAAACCCCTCTACTTAAAAGACCAGAAGGTGGCCCGGGAACAGGGCTGGAAACCACCTGGCTGAGGAGTGGTTGGCCGCATTTACATGTGGCTAAGCAAATCAACAGAGACACAGTCAATCAACAAGGGAAGAAATCCAACAGATTCCATTTAGTCAGAGTGGATAAACATGTTTTATAAACTTGATTTGGATTTGGGCTTTTGTGAGATGTCCTTGTGTGTGCACATGCCTTGCCTATAAGCAAAGCTCAATCCTACAAAATGTATCTATTTATTATTTAATTTATAAGCTGCCTTTCCTCCAAGCCTAGGGGCTCCCTTCGAGGGGGAGTACACGATCCTCCTCTCCGTTTTACCCTTACAAGCAGGCCGTTGAGGGCAAGGGGTCGAGAGTCAATGACTGACCTCAAATCACCCAGTGAACTTCAGGCCAGGCAGGGACCAGAGTCCAGGTCTCCCCAGGTCCGGCCCAGCCATGCCCTGGCGACTCCACCACACTGGCTCTCATGACAAAAAGCACAGAACCAGCGGACCAGAGGGAACACTTCAAGCCCACTTATCCCATGTCGGTTGTCCCGTGCCTCCCTGTGACCAGTTCGGTCCCACCCCTCTTGCTGCCCATTTATTCACCCAGATCTTCACTCTTCCATAGCTGTCTCGACTGCCAAAAGGCACACCAAGTGTCCATAATGCACAAGTCCCTCCCTGTGAATGGCACCTTGCCACGAGCATCCCCCACCGTTCGCTCATTCCACGGCCTCGGAAATCCCACGCGGTGCCAGGCTAGCTCATACTGCACACACACTCCCAAGGTGGGCAGGCACCCTCATCCACGCTCACCTGTGGGCATCAGGATGAAGCAGTCTTTCCCTAGCAGAGCGGCATTGATGGCCTCAAGCTGATTGGTCCGAAAGTGATGCAGACCAAATCTTTTGTGAAATATCTTCATCATTTCGTTCGAATGAGGAAACGTGAAGCCTCCGAAGCATTCTAATGCTGGATCTCCAGAAGGTGGATTTTTGAACAGTGGGCCTAGGAGAAGAGGAACCCTTATTAGAAGGCTGGACATGATTTTAGCCTTTTCCAGTGCTTTACCAAGTCCTTTATGTCAATTCAATTTATCTGTAAAAGCACGACATGCTCAGCGGAATAGGTAGATTGGCAGGACCGGATCTTAAAGTCTATCAATAACAGAACATGAAGTATTTCTGGCATCTGTGCAGCAAACCAAGTGTCGGATTTCTCAAAGGTTTCAGAATACAAATGCAAGGACAGTGTGACTGGGAGAAGGAAAGGCAAACCACTGCCTAGCCATTGTGAATCAGCAAGCGATTGTGCGTGGGAAGGCCTGCCCAGGGCAACACCCAGGATACGCCACAATACCTGCGTCAGATCAGTTCATTGTACCTTCCATGGTAGTTTCTTCCCACAGCAAAAGAAATTCTAAGATTAAGCATAATTTACCAAAGGAAATCTTGGCAGATGCAGAGCAGTTTGCCTGGGGATAAATAGGATGAGGAAGGCGGCCGTTTCTTCTGGCAATAGGGGAGTTCTTTTCCAGGAACGGTTTGGAAGGTTGCACTGCCTCCACAAGCTGGTGGCGAGTTGTGGAACACTGTTCAGTTGTTGAGTTAGTAAGCATATCATCCAGTTCATCAAAGTCATCAATGTCAAAATCATCATTAGCGAAGTTCTCCTCTCCCGTCGCCAAGGAGTGCTCACCTCCCAGAGTGCTTTCAGGTAGGCAGAGTTTGTTTTGCCCCCCTGAAGTTGTTCCATCCATCTCTGAATAAAACCGACCTTTCTGTTCCATCTTTCTTTCTTTGGTGCCACTTTTGGAAAAAGGCAACACTGAATTTTCCACTGCAGAGATATCACCGTCCACAGCAAAATGCTCTGAAAAACCAGATGGCCAAGCTTCACTTAAGTCTTGCGTGTCTGGTACAAAGGAGGGAGTTGAATGGTCGCACCAGGATCCAGCAGCAACTCGCCGTTGTCTAGAAGAAAGAGTTTCTCCGTGAGGGCTAGTGAAATAATTTTTCCCCAGCTGAAAGAAAATGCCACCATCCAGAGAACCATCATACCCAGAATAAAGCCTGCTGTTTGTACTCAGAGATGTACTAGTATCCTTTCCTCTTCCATAAATGTCATTTAGCAGTTTCTTTCTGGAAATAAGAAAAATTGAAATTTTGGGGGAAAGTCGCAGAACAGATAAATTTAGTCATAAAAGGCTCTTTAAGATTTAATTATGTACACATTCTACTCAATTATTTACCTGCTGTATAGAAATTATCATAAGCTAAGTTCATTTTCTACAGCCAAAATACTAATATTATAATACCAGAAAAAGAACTGCCCATCTTTTACCAAACAACGAATTAAGGGTCTTAACAATGTTTTTAATATCTTAGCAAATGCTATTGTGATGCCACCTACGGACGGCAGATACATGGATATTTGCCCACCTGTTCTGAGGCTCCTGCATAGCTGTTTCTATTGACAGTTGCATTACTACAAACACCCGTGGTCACACATTCCACGTACACTTATTTTAAATGATTGTTTTTCTTATTGTAAGAAAATTTGATCTTTTCCCACAACAGACCTGCAATCTCGCTGTTGAATCAGCTCCTTCCCACATGACAATGACCTCAGCTCCCTCTCTGGGATGGAATCCACCAGTTTACAGATGCTCGCCATCACACTGTGGAGGGAGTCTTCCAAAGTTAAGTCCGTCCCTGAAATTTAACATCATATAGTCAGGATACCCCTTTCATCATAGTCTCCCAACAACTTGAAGTTGGCCTGTTTCAAGATCAGCGAAGTCCCAACACTTCACATTCTAATTTGCTAGACAGCATTGGAGCTAAGTGTTTTACAATTTATTTAGGGAACTGTTTATGATTGGAGAGGGAAAGAGGTAAGTACGGTTCCACCTCACGTGACACACAAGATCAGACTCTGGAGCCCTTGTTCCCCAGCCCTGGGATTTAGCCAGCTCCAACACTGTACACAAGTCTACAGGAAGCCTGTGTCTGCCCAGAAGAAATATCTTTGCAGGCCTGTTTTGTTTACCTTTCTGCTCTTTGTTGCTTCCACTGGTGGACACTTCAGAATCTGTAAAGCTGTTTTCCAGAACTTCAGGAGTTTTCTCTGCAGCAGGTTCACTGAAAATATAACTGCAATGCTAAAGGGCAGTATCTTTAAGACCTCCAAATATATGATACATACAGTGGTGCCTTGACTCACCGATGCCTTGGTTCACAACCAAATCGGGTCACAAACAAAAATTTCATGAAACTTTTGACTTGGGTTGCAAACTCCACATTGGGTGGCAACCAAGATCGTAGCCATCTCCCCACCCCCTCCCGGAGTGGGGAGATGGCCATGATCACAGTTGTGTTCATGAAGGGAAGACATAGAGGAGCTGACAACAGAAGAACTTGCTGAACTCCAGTGAGCAGCAGAAGGCACTTGCTAAGGAGGAAGGTTAGCAGTGATATGATACAATCCATTATGAAAAAATGGAACGAGTGCCAGGATTTCTTTGAGAAGCACCACCCCAACATAACTGTAACAAACAGAGTGTTGAACCTGATGAACGATAACGTGGTCTCTCATTTCCAGAGGGTTATGCAGTGCAGGAAAAAACAAGTGATTATAGACAGATTCTTCACCAAAATTGACCCTGCAGCTAAGAGACAAAGAAGAGAGGAAACCCCTGAAAGCGATCTCCCCATGGAGAGTCTTATGGAGGGGGTCTCTCCCTCAAAACAATAACCTCCCCCCCCCAGGTTAGTGTTCTCCACTGTACTGTACAGGACTTGGTTACTTTGTTGTTCTTTGTCACTTTGTTGTTTGTCACTTTGCTTCAAATTTTTCTGATTAAAAAAATAGTTACAGAACGGATGAACCTTATTTACATTGAACCTTATGGGGAAATCTGACTTGGGTCACGACCAACTTGGGTCATGACCAGAGTCCTGGAATGGATTAAGCTGGTGAGCCAAGGTACCACTGTATATTGAATTCCCTAATCTTTTCCCCCACCTTCGTCCTCCCACTCCCTGCTTTCTTCATGTATTTATTTAGGACATTTTTATGCCGCCCCGTTCGCAAAAAGCCTCGGGGTGGCTTCTTTGCACACAGTCCCTGGTAGGACTGTGTTTTTAACCTTCAGGGAAGACGGGGGAATTACTGGTTCCCAGGACAGGGCCAGCAAGCTAGAATCAGAAGGGTAGCAGAAAGAATGGACCCAGACTCGCCAGTGGTGGTGGCCGGCAGCGTCTCTGCCATGTCGGTCTTCTTGTCGAAGGTCAACATGGGCTACACGCGCACCAAGGGCAAGCCAGTAGCCCTGCTGGAAGAAAAGGTGAGAGCACCACAGCAGCAAGTGTTCGCCCTCAAGGGACTAAGAAAAGATGAAGGCTCTTCAGACAGAGCAGTGGGCTTGTGATACAGGAACCGGAAGTGCAACAGCAAGCTGAGGCTGGAGAGGAGAATCCTGAAGAGAAGAGGCGAATAGAGCGTCATACCTAATGCTTTTTAAAAATGATGCAGAAGGCACCTCTTCCTCTGGAGAAGGTTGTATGAAGTCTACATAGTCCTCCGTCTCCTCCAAGTCTGCCACCGCATCACAGCACCCATCCTCTTGCTTCTCATTCACCGGTAACACAAAGCCAGTATCATTCTGTGCTTTAGCAAGCAAGACAGAGCAAAGTATTTTACTCAACAAAGACTGATATGGTATTAAAAGGCCCACTGAAAAGGACACAAAAACTCTCACCTGCTTAACTAGGAACCTGAGTAGGTGGTTTTCTAGCAGGAAACAAGCACATATCCTTTGGTTTGCAAAAACATTTCTTATTTGACATCCCTTCCCTTGCTCCCTAAAAAGCAAAGCTCTGTAACAGCAACTGAAAATGCCTTTCCACGTCTTTCACATCTCATGATATACATTAAGCTACTGTGTGAGGTAGTTCAGAACTCCCATGCAGTTATGCTAACCTCCAGGACGCATGTCTCAGTTTTCAAAAATTGTTCCTTTTTAATTTGCATTGTCTGCTATGAAGAACAGCGTAGGATTTAGACAGCAAAGGGGCAGGTTCAAACTCCCGTTCAGTTACTAAGGGTACTGGGCGCCTTTGGACCAGTCGCTCTCGCTCAGCCTAACCTAACCCACAGTCTGGGTGAGAACACTGCCCTCAACTCCACGAAGGATATCGTGGGGAAAGATCCATGTAGGAGCAAAATTATATATAAAGTTTTGCTCCACACTGTTAAAAGCAAGTGTTAATTATTGCCCATGCTAATCTGTTGCAGCAAACGCAGCGCAGCTATTCTAGAAGCCGTCTTAGGCAAGAGACGATGCCACGACGGAAACACTTGGCTGCTTACCTTTTGCAGACTCTTTGTTGCCACTGGAGAGAATTTCTGCAGAAGTCTCCTCCTGAACATTATCTCGGGGGCTAGCTGTTGGAGAATCAATCCAGATGACCAACTCACTGCTCTGTTCCTTGCCTGGCATCAGAGTTCTGTTGTTCTTACAGTCTTCATTATATTCTTGGTTAGCTCTACCTGTGGCTTCATTCTTTGATGACTTACTGGTAAATATACTCAGCTTCCTTGAAGCCTTGCTAGTTTTAACAGACAGACTGTTGGAAAATGACAACGGCTTTTGCTTCCCAGGTATTTCAAAGTCATCCAAGTCATTCCAAACGTCATCAGTATTAATATCTGACTTGTATGAGCTGTCAAGATCGGCTCTGGGGAAGTGGGAGCCACTCTGTTCATTGCCCGGTACTCTTTCTTTCACAGGAGACACAAAACAATCCAGAACGTCCAAAAGTTGTTTATTTGGATGGTTTTTTCTTCCTTTTTGATCTTTCAAAGTTCTTTCAAAGTGGCTACCAATTTTGGCCTGCTTATCCTTAGTGCCAGAGAAAGACACGCTTGGTTTTATCAAGGATGAGTTAATATCCTTTTCCTTTAAGGCCACATCTTTTGTCCCTCCTGAATTTTGCACTGGTGTACTGTTATCAATAATGGTTTTCTTTTTGAAAGTAAAACCCCTACAAAAATCAAAGTAAACAAGCAACTGGTTTAGATTTGTAGTCATTCATCTAACAGTGGGATACAACATGTAAACTCAAGCCAGGTTTAGCTTGCATTATTCATTGTATCAACATTTCTTATCCTATGACATTTCTTTGCACTTCAAACAAATACTTGAATGTTACACACAAATACTGAAAAACAATATAGAAAATTTCTTAATTCGACCTCTCATTCCAGATCACTTATTCATTGTAACTTGTTTAGATTTAAAATTACAAAGGTTACTTTCCATTTTCACTGTGGACTAAAATGGCTTAGAATTAACTCCGGGAGCCTCTCATTTGTTGCTCCAGGAAAGCAAACAAGCACAAACTTATTTGGAAACTAAGTGATTTCATTTTAAGACCAGCACTTGCATTATAAAGCATTCATTACGAATTTCAAATCATTACTAGCACAGAAGGTACACTGTAAGCCACCTGCAGTTCTGGCTACTGGACAGAGTAGAACGTAACAGATAATCTAAATGCACTATGGACCAAGCAGATATGAAAATGGCATGAAAATGGTAACAGCAGAAAAGTTGCTTTAAACTGCAGTTATAGTCTCTTCCCTATTTATTGATAACACTGGTCTTAATTTTAACTTTTTAATTAAATTTATTACTTACATTTTGCTTGATTGTATATATTGCCTTATTTTGCTAATGTTTATTATAACTTTGTAACTGCCTTATTTTACTGATGTTATTGATTTTATTGTAATGGCTGCCCCGAGAGCTTAATGCTAATAGGGCAGCTTTTATATAAATTTAATAAACAAACAAACATTTCTCTGACCTCCCCATCCTCATGGATCAGTTTTTACAATACTACAGGCACCACTAAAAAAGCAGGACTAAAATATTTTTTTTCAGTAGCAACTAAAACCATCCCAAAGAAAGAGAAATGCAAGAAAGCAAAATGGCTGTCTGAGGAAGCTTTAGAAATAGCTGAGGAAAGAAGGGAAGCAAAAGGCAAGGGAGAAAGAGAAAGATACACCCAATTGAAAGCAGAATTCCAGAGAAAGCTAGAAGAGATAAGAATGCCTTCTTAAATGAACAGCGCAAAGAAACAGAGGAAAACAATAGAACAGGAAGGACCAGAGATCTCTTCAGGAAAATTGGAGATATGAAGGGAACTTTTCATGCAGAGATGGGCATGATAAAGGACCAAAATGGCAGGGACCTAACAGAGGCAGAAGAGATTAAGAAGAGGTGGCAAGATTACACAGAAGATCTATACAAGAAAGAGCTTAACGCCCCAATAACCTTGATGGGGTGGTCACTGACCTCGAGCCAGACATCCTGGAATGTGAAGTCAAATGGGCCTTAGGAAGTCTTACCAACAACAAAGCTAGTGGAGGCGGCAGTATTCCAGCTGAGCTATTCAAGATCCTAAAAGATGATGCAGTAAATGTGCTACACTCAATATGCCAGCAAATTTGGAAATCTCAACAGTGGCCACAGGATTAGAAAAGGTCAGTTTACATCCCGATTCCAAAGAAGGGCAATGCCAAAGAATGTTTGAACTACCGCACCATTGCACTCATTTCACATGCTAGCAAAGTTATGCCCAAATCCTACAAGTTAGACTCCAGCAGTATGTGAACCGAGAACTTCCAGAAGTACCGGCAGGGTTTTGAAGAGGCAGAGGAACTAGAGATCAAATTGCCAACATACGCTGGATCATGGAGAACACTAGGAAGTTCTAGAAAAACATCTACTTATGCTTCATTGACTATGCTAAAGCCTTTGATTGTGTGGATCACAACAGATTGTGGCAAGTACTTAAAGAGATGGGAGTACCAGACCAACTGATTTGTCTCTTGAGAAACCTATATGCGGGTCAAGAAGCAACAGTGAGAACTGGACACGGAACCACTGATTGGTTCAAAATTGAGAAAGGAGTTCGGCAAGGCTGTATACTGTCGCCCTGCCTATTTAACTTATATGCAGAGCACATCATGAGAAAGGTGGGGCTGGATGAATCACCAGTTGGAATTAAGATTGCTGGGAGAAATATCAACAACCTCAGATATGCGGATGATACCACTCTCATGGCAGAAAGTGAAGAGGAACAAAAGAGTCATTTGATTCAGGTGAAGGAAGAGAGCTCAAAAGTTGACTTGAAACTCAGCATTAAGACAACTAAGATCATGGCATCCAGTCCTATCACTTCCTGGCAAATAAGATAGGGAAGAAATGGCGATCGCATCAGATTTTATTTTCCTGGGCTCCAAGATCACTGCAGACGGGGACTGCAGCCAAGAAATTAAAAGACGCTTGCTCCTTGGGAGGAAAGCTATGGCAAATCTAGACAGCATACTAAAAAGCAGACACATCTCCCTGCCAAGAAAAATGCGTATAGTCAAGGCTATAGTTTTCCCAGTTGCAATGCATGGCTGTGAAAGCTGGACCATAAGGAAGGCTGAGCACCGAAGGGCTGAGGCCTTTGAATTGTGGTGCTGGAGGAGACTCCTGCGAGTCCCTTGGACCTCAAGGTGATCAAACCGGTCAGTCCTAGAGGAGATCAACCCTGACTGCTCTTTAGAAGGCCAGATCCTGAAGATGAAACTCAAATACTCTGGCCACCTAATGAGAAGGAAGGACTCCCTGGAAAAGAGCCCAGTGCTGGGAACAATAGATGGCAAGAGGAGAAGGGGATGGCAGAGGATGAGGTGGCTAAATAGGGTCACTGAAGCAGTCGGCGTGAGCTTAAGTGGACTATGGAGGATGGTAGAGGACAGGAAGGCCTGGAGGAATGTTGTCCATGGGGTCGCGATGGGTCTTAGGTTTGCAGGGGAAGCTGCAAACCTAAGCTTCCCCTGCAAACCTAGAGGCGAGACTGAGGGAACTGGGCCTCTTCAGCCTGGAGAAGAGGAGACTCAGAGGGGATATGTTGGTGACATACAGGTATGTGAGGGGATTTCACACAGAGGTAGGCAGAGACCTGTTCTTCCCTGCAAAGGAAGGCAGGATGCGCTCCAGTGGAGTCAAGCTCAGGGAACCGAGGTTCAATTTAGATGCCAGGAAGTACTTCCTGACAATTAGGACCCCGAGGGTGTGGAATGGGCTTCCACAGGAGGGGGTTGAGGCCTCATCGGTGCGGGTGTCCAAGGACAGGCTAGACATGTGCATGGTGCGCATGTCGTGAGCGGAGCCGGATGGAGCTGGGGATCAGACTCGATGGCCCAGCAGATCCCTTCTGACTTACTCTGCTTCTGTGTTTCTATGCATGCTCAATAACCGAGACCAGCTACCATAGCTCAACTATACACAGTCTGAGATATTAAGTCATAAACGATCAACACTTACACAGCCTTATGTTTGAGAAGAGTCAGCTTATTTAAGGTTCCTTTGGCTGAATGAAGTTCGAGCTGCTTCTGAAGGTTGTTTTGTGGAACAGCTGCCATACTGATTTCAAGAAACTGCAGCAGAAGGGGGGAAAGCACAGGATGTAATTTCACCTCTTTAAAACAAAGATATACTTTTAAAAGGGGGGGGGCAGTGACACATTGAGAGCATGGGTCACACTGATCACTACTTCATTCCCCAATCTAAATCCTTTGTCTCAGTTACTAGGATTATGTACAGACCAAGAGACAGAGGCAGGTAGTTCAAGTCCCACTACTACTGAAAAGAAAGGATAAAACCTTTCCAGTCAGTAAAATGGTGCTGAGGATGCCATGCAGCCTAAAAGAAGCACCACATAGGGCAGTGTCTCCAACATCAAGTCCATAGGCACCCAGAATCTTTCCCTTTCTTAACTTTCTAGAAATCGTGCATAGGTTTTAAAAAAGCCAAGCCAAATAGTAAGCAAAGTACCCATATATAAAGATAGCATCTAAGTGCTCCCGATTCATGCGCTAAGAATTACCTAAGACCCTAAGCCCACCGTTACAGCAGATCCAACCTTATCCTTTCACTTAAATTCAGCCGCGAAAAGAGCACAGAGAACGCATAATTTCCATGAAGCAGATCAACTTCATGAAAGCGGGGTGCATGACAACCACTACTAAACGCCGCTCCAGCTCAAAGCGCGTCCATGCGATGGCCACTCCCCAAGCGCGACAACGGCCGGCAGGGCCGAAGCAGCGGCAGCGCGGTGCCGGGGTCAAGGGCGCAGGGTGGGGCTCGGGGGACCGGGTGCGTGTCCAGCTCGGCGCCGGAGCCCTGTGGGGCAGGCCCAGACTCGGCCCAGCCTACCCCACAGGGCTGCCGGGGCGGCGAGGCGCCTGAGGAGACGGGGCGGCGACGGCGCGCCGCGTGCGGCCACCGGCGCGACGAACTCCGAGAGGCAGGCGCCGCGCGAGCTGGCAGCGGAGGCCGGGCGGCACGGCCCGCGGCCCCCAGGCGCGGCGGCAGCGCCGCGCCGAGACGCG